CCTGAATTCAGATGGGAGAGGTTAAAGGAAGGTCTACACTAAAGTAACAGAATCCCCAACACGCTTCCTCTGGTCAGGATATACGTTAACTCGTGACCCCTGGTTTAAAGAAACTCTTGCCCAGTCCATCTGAGGGGTTTACTGCACCGTTTAATGTGGAGGCAGAGATCCGAAGGCAGCTGGGTAGGAAGAATGGGTAAGTAAAATCTGCAGAGTGACAGTTGACATAAATTTTTTAAAAGAACGTACAAAATGCTACCTAGTTTTCAAGAATATGTCCTGGTAAAAAGATATACAATGAACATATTAGAATGATTATCCCTGAGGAAAGGGTGACCGGGGTGGGGTATGCAAATAAAGGGGAATTTTTAAAAATATAAATAGCATAAAATAAGATAGTAGAAAAAAGTCCAATTATCACAGTAGTAATACTTTTATAACTGCAATAATGAAAGCCAATTTTACTTATAATGACTAATTACAATAATAACAATATTATAGTAATACATTTAAATGGACCAAACTCACCAGTTAAGGCAGGTTGTCAGACTAGATTTTTAAAATCCACTTACAATTTACAAGAAGCATCCTGAACACTTCAGGACACAGAAAAGTTAAAAGTTTAAGGATGGGGAAAGTTACACTAGGCACATACAAGCAAAAGACACTAAAAGATGTTTAGCAAATAAAATAGATTTGAGAACAAACAGAATTATTAGGAATAAAGATAGTCACTAGATAAGAACAAATTTTCAATTTCTTAGTGAAATATGTGTAGTTTTGAAGATATGAGCAACAGGATTAACGAACTTGACCTAATGGACATACATTCACTCACTAGGAACTGTAAACCAAACAAGCACAGAATTAACATTATTTTTCAGGCCTACTAGGAACATAATAAAAACTGGATCATATATTACACATAATAAGCATGTCAAAACAAATTTGAAAGAACTGAATAGTCCGGACCACTTATTAGACCAAAATAAAATTAAACTAAAAATTAATAACAAAAAGGCAACTAAACAATCCTTATATGTTTGGAAATTAAGAAAGTATTCTGCTTGGGTGCCTGGCTGGCTTAGCTTATAGAGTGTGCAACGCTTGACCTTAGGGTTGTGAGTGTGAGCTCCATGCTGGGTGCAGAGATTGCTTTAAAAAAAAAGAAAAGAAAATTTAAAAAAAAAAAGAAAAGAAAAAAGAAAGTTTTTTTTTTTTAAATATTTTATTTATTTATTTATTTGAGAGAGAGAGAGATCACAAGTAGGCAGAAAGAGAGAGAGCAGGAAGCAGGCTCCCTGATGAGCAGAGAGCCCGACACGAGGTTCAATCCCAGGACCCTGAAATCATGACCTGAGCCGAAGGCAGAGGCTTAACCCACTGAGCCACCCAGGTGCCCCAAAAGTATAGTATTTTTAAAGAAGAATTCTTATCACAACTTTGAAAATATTTAGAACAATACAAAATTACATAAGAAAAATTGGGCACACTCAGAAAGAACAGAGAGAAATTCATAATCTTAAAATGCTTATATTGCGGGGGGGGGTACCTGGAATGAGTAAGTTAACCATATCTTTGAAGAAGTTAGAAAGAGGGATGCCTGGGTGGCTCAGCTGGTTGAACAATTGCCTTTAGCTTGGGTCATGATCCTAGGGATTAAGTCCCGCATAGGGCTCCCTGCTGAGCGGGGAGTCTGCTTCTCCCTTTCCCTCTGCCTCTGCCATTCCCCCCGTGCCTGTGCTTTCTTGCTCTCTGTCGAATAAATAAAATCTTTAAAAAAAAAAAAAAGAAGAAGTTAGAAAGAGAGTAGCAAGATAAACCCAAAGAAACTGTAACAAAAGGAATAATAAAGATAAGGTTGGAAACAAATAATATTCAAAAATACAATGCATACAGTAAGAGAATCATCAAAACCAAAAGTTGGTCCTCTAGAAGTCCAACAGAAGGGACAAACCTATGGCAAGATGTGTTCAAGGAAAAACCAAAGAGAGAGAAAAACCATAAATACATGAAAGAGGAATTTAAAAGAGACATTAGTACACACACCACAGACACATGTTATGAACTTTGTGCCAATAACTTTGAAAATTCAAATGAAACTGACATTCCTATAAATAAAAAATGTTCTAAAGTGACTCAAAAAGAAATAAGAATTAGGTCTTATAATTGTTTTAAAAATAGAATTCACAGTTCAGAATTTTCCCACAAAGGAGCCTTTTGGCAGAGATAACGTCATTGGTGAATTTCACCAAAAATTGAAGGAGCAAATAATTCCAATTTTAAATAAGCTGTTTCAAAAAACATAAAAAGAGAATGCTCTTCAACTTTTTAAGACAGCAAACTGGGCAAACTTTGCCCTAAAAAGATAATAAAACAGGAAATTACAGGACAATTTAACTTTTAAACATAGGCAAAATCTAGGCAAAACATTAGCAAATGAAACCTAGCAGTATATTACAAGGAGAGTCAACTTATGTTTATTCTAGGAATGTATGGCTGTTTAAAAAAATTCATATAATTCACTATATTAATAGAATAAAGAAACTCTCATGATCATTTCAAGGCAGAAAAGTCTTTGATAAAATTCCACATCCATTCATGACCCAAAAAAAGCACTCTTAGCAAACGAGGCATACAAGGGGAGCTCTTTTTACCTGATAAACAGTTTCTACAAAACCTACATCAAATAACACACTAAATGAATGCTGAAAGCTGTCTCTCGGGATTAGCAACAACAGAAGATTACCTACCGAACTACTTTTGTTCAATATTGCACTGGAGGTTCAGCCAGTGCAAGAAGACCAAAAGGGAAAAAATAAAGTATGATTAATATTTAAAACTACAAGGAGTGGGAGGGAAAAAAACAAAACGATCATTATTCGCAGGTGATATAATTATTTATAGGAAATCCAAAAAAATCTGACTAAAAATTACTAGAATTAATGAGTACATCAGGTAAGATAACCAGATAGTGGATTAAGATACAGAAACAATTTGCATTTCCACATACCAGCAATACACTGCTGAGAAACATAATTCCATGAAAACACCATTTGCATGACTGCATACATTTGCCAAAACTCACTGAATTGTACACTTGAAGTGGGTGCATTTTATCACATGTAAATTATATCTCAAAAAAACTGTAGGAAAAAAAAGGCACATGTGCAACATCAACAAATGTACAGAAGAACCTTTAAAAGTATGGAAGAATTAATCTAACGTATATACCTTTCTGGTGAAAATTGTAAAGCTTTACTGAAAAGCACAAAATGACATTTAAATAAATGGAAAGACAGAGCACATTCATGACACGGAAGACGTCAATTCTCCCCAATTTGATCTCTAGATCCAATGAATCTCTGATCAAGATCCAAACAAAATTTTGTGAGGGACTCAATAAGCCGATACTAAAATTTATATGGAAGAGCAAAGGGCAAAGAATAGACAAGACCCTCCTAAAAATATTATTTAACCTCTTATAGTCACTAAGATAGTATGATGTTGGCATAAGGACAGGCCGTTGGGCCACAGGAAGAGGAGAGCCCAGAACCAGACCACGCACATAGGACGCTTCATTTATGACAGCCGTGGCGTGTTAGGTCACGGTGGGGGGGGGGGCGACAGATCATCCATTAAATGGCTCTGAAACAAGTTACTATGCAAACGCAAAGAGATCTCATTGGTCAGAAACCTAGACAAAGCATAAGGAAGTGTGGGAGGATGTGCTGTACTTTATTATATGTTTTTCTGTATTATTAAATTTCTTATTTATATGTATATACTATTTTAGTAAAAGTCTTTCAAATTACTGAATGAGAAAGAAAAGATCAAGAACCCTAAGTATTTTAGAGGGAGGTCAAAGAAAACAGATGTCTACTCCAACAGAAAAACCTGTCAACGCCCAATAAAGACTAAGAATGATCAAAAACCTACTGATGGGGCGTCTGGGTGGCTCAGTGGGTTAAAGCCTCTGCCTTCGGCTCAGGTCATGATCCCAAGGTCCTGAGATAGAGCCCCGCATCGGGCTCTCTGCTCAGCGGGGAGCCTGCTTCCTCACTTCTCTCTCTCTGCCTGCCTCTCTGCCTACTTGTGATCTGTCAAATAAATAAATAAATAAAATCTTTAAAAAAAACAAAAACAAAAACAAACCTACTGACTTTGGGGCACCTGGGTGGCTAAGTTGGTTAAGCATCTGATTCTTGATTTAAGCTCAGGTCATGATTTCAGGGTTGTGAGCTCGAGCCCTGTGTCAGGCTCCTTGCTGGGTGTGGAGCCTGCTTAAGATTCTCTCTCCTCTGCCCTTGCCCCCTCTCTAAAAACAAAACAAAACCGCTATTGACTTTATCCAGGAGGACACATAACATCACCATTTAATTCAGAGTAAAGAATCTTAGTTTAGAGGCTGAATCTTAACACTTCCTTATTTCTCCTTCTCCTTACTCTTCCTCTTTCTCTACTTCTCTTTTTGGTTCCTGTCTGAATTTCTTTCATTTAGCAGGAATATTCAAAGAAAGTAAAAATAAAACACTAGTTTTATTTATAGAATACAATCTTATGTTTCCTAATTTTCTCTCAATACAAAGAAGCAAATGAAGTTGATTTTCAATTCCATGTTGCCCAAACTAATTATAAAAATAACTATGGGCATTACTGCTGCAGTGAAGAAAGGATCTCTACCACTGATTATGGAAGAACACACAAACAAAAAAAGGCAACCTTGCTAAAAGCAGTTCAATAATTACTCTTCAATATATTAATTAATGTTTCTGTTTGAGATCATTAATTACTTAGGCTCTGGGCTCAGCAGCTAAGCTTCCATGTAAATATTTATGGTGACTTAAAGAAATGAAATCTTGAGGTCCTGAGTTCCCCAAAAGTAAAGTAAAAACCAGAAGGTTCAATGTTCATGTTACATGAAGTTGCTTTTACCCAAAAGGATTCAGCAAGGTCTCCATTTCAGTATAACCCACGTCCATCCCTAGGTGTATACTTACACTATATTTGCAAGGTCAAGTGGTTTCTCTGGTTGCTCAGGAAAAACAGGATGCGGGGGTTCTCTGGTGGGCACGCACCCCAAAGATTTACTAATTGCATGGCTCAGCTTCTTTGCAGGGGATTTCTGTGTCAAAGTAGAAAATAAGGAAATAAATTAAATCTTCAAAAGAATGAAGAAGAATTTCAAAAGAACTTGGTGACAAGAACTGCAGAAAATACCTTTTGAAATAGAACCTAAGATGCATTATAATCAACATTATTTGGACCTAGAGAAAGAAACCTACGGTTGTTCCAAGGTCACTTGTGGTCCTTCATTTCTATGCTTACTCCCTCCTTTCTACTATTAAGTTAATGTTAACTTCCCTTGTGAACATCTCTCTGTACCCTTTGCATGAACTCTCTCTTTTGATGCTTTTGGATCATTTTTGGTAAGATGTTATAGTTAATTTCCCAATCAGAGTCAGAAATTTTTGCTGGACTAAAATACTAAAAGGCTAAGATAATGCTGAGAGCTCATGGCTTTTGAATGTTAGCAAATTAGCTGACTAAGTCACATCCCAAAACGTGCCTATTAAGAGAATATTCCCAAAATAAACGTGAGGCAGAACATTTGGTGCTAAGGGTCTGGCTATGTGTACAGACACAGATGAGTGCCCTCACACCCTCAGGCAGTCAGCCTCAGACCTGTGACTATAAATTCACGAAGGTACAAGAATAAGCTGGCATACTAATACATTTCTCTGTAAGGTAGAACAATATACAGCAAATCCAAAGACTAGTGAGATCAGATCTAACAGTAAATATGCCCAAAAGTAAACAATATGCCACAATTAAGTTATTCAGAATACTCACATCAGAAACCCATATATAAAGGAGGCTCATCATACCCTGATACGATCGCCCACCCAATTCCCTTTAAATAACAGGGTTGTTGAGATTTCCTTGGAAGGATATTAACTGCAAAAAGGTGTAAATATTTCATTCTACTCACTCTGCAGCGTACTGCCATATGTCCCACTCTAATTGAAAAACAGAACTTGTTCGCCGTTGTGTGTCATATCAGTACTGCATCTCCACTGAACTTTTATATGCTGCTCACATGTGTTAAACACACAAAATAAGCAAACTGTCTTTGCCTTTAAGACTATGTAGAGAAGGGCACCTGGGTGGCTCGGATGGTTAAGCCGCTGCCTTCAGCTCAGGTCATGATCTCCAGGTCCTGGGATTGAGCCCCACGTTGGGCTCCTTGCTCAGTGGGGAGCCTGCTTCTCCCTCGGCCTCTGCCTCTGCATCTCCCTGTGCTTGTGCTCTCTCTAACGAATAAAATCTTTAAGGGGAAAAAAAAAAGACTAGATAGAGAAAGACAGGCACCTGGGTGGCCCAGTCAGTTAAGCATCTGGCTCTTGATTTTGGCTCAGGTCATGGCCTCAGGGTCATAGGACTGAGCCCCATGTTGAACTCTGTGCTCAGCATGGAGTCTGAGCACTGAGCACTGAGCACTCTTCTTCTCCCTCTCCTCCCCCCTGCTCTCTCTGGCTCACTCTTCCTAAAATATATCTTAAAAGAAAAAGAAGACTATGTAGGGAAAGTTAATACCTTTTTAATAATACAGACTGAATAATATCAATTTCTTCAGAAACTTCATATATTGGCTCCAAATCACCTATCACTAACCCCTTCAACACATTAAATTCTGGGCAAAATCTAAATGAAGCCTAATTTCCTAAAAGTCATATAAGGCAGAAACTCTAAACATTCCCTCTAAGTGGTTTCCATATCCTCCTTTTACCGGATGACGGGCTGAAATGTGACTTGATCCTTCTGTTTTCTACACTGCCCCAGACCGTGTGTCACTTTTCCGCCTAACACCTCTCAAAGGCTGATAATCCCTTACAGAATAAGATCTAAATGCGCACCATCACAGTCCTTACAAAAGCCTTCATATCTGGCTCCCACCTCTCCTCACACCAGCATCAATGATGAGACGTCACTTGGCCCAAAGGCCATGTTCCTGTGGTCTCTGTACCTTGGCATAGGCCTTTCTGATGTTGCCCTCTGCTGGTCTATTTTTCTGCAAGTTTCCTGCTCCGTTCTCAAGACTACTTTGAAGCCTTGCCCTGGGCAGGCTTTCCTCCTGGCTCCGTAAGTCAGAGACCACATTTCCCAGCTACCCGTTTACCATGGACGTTTCCACAATTGCGCTTTCCACACTATGGTGCACTTTTTACGTGCCTATCTCTGTGAAACTGGTGGTCCTGAAAGGCAGGGTCTAGGTCTCATTCCTCTTTATAGTCCAGACCCTGTCCTATAACAAAATATGTTATTTGAACAATTTGCCTAGATGAATTTTCTAGATTGCCTCTTCCTGACCAAACCACGTATGCTTATTTTCTGAGTTACAACACAAGTAGGAGACAGAGGACATCAGAGAATACCTTGATTCACCGTTATAACTAAACACTACATCTGTAGTCCGGATATTAATTTCATATTTTGCTGTGTCTGAGAACAGCTGGGCCATTAGTTCACACAGTCTATGCGAGATGGATTATCAGAGAGACTTGACTTAATTGCATCCTGAGCAAAAACAACCATGAAAGGTTTCATATGTATATTTATAATAGAATTATAAATTAAATTAATCACATGACTATTAAAATAAATAATGTTTCCCTTCGTATCACCTTATAATCTCTAGCAGTATGCTTGTAATGCTTTTGAAAATGCTGCTTTAAAGTCAAGGTTTAAGATCAGATCCAACTTTGAGTCTCAAAAATATACACAGAAAGGTAAAATTAGTACATCAAAGTCAATTCCAAAGAATTAGAACATATCAAGAGCTTTGAGATGCACAGAAAGGGAAAAAACTGAGAATAAATATATACAGGAATTAGAATATTAACTGGGCTAGGACCAGACCAAAAAGGATATATTAATCTGAAAATTTTACAGACAATGCATTCAACTAGGTTGTCTAAATATGTAAATAAATGACTTCCTTAAAACGATAAGAAAGAGTAAGTTATGATACGGACCTGAAGTGAATTTTGCTATCTCGTTAGTTTAGGAGGTTAAGATTAACAAAATCTGTGAGCATGAACCCGAAAACTGCCAGAAGCTCCAAGCTAGGCACATAGCCTCTCTGACTCCTGGGCCCCTAGGACAATGCCCAGGACTTGGCAGTCGGTCACTAAAAATTTACAGAAGTGAGGAAGGAAGAAAAGTGGCCCAGGTGCAGGGACGGGTGCCTTCCACAGACCTCGTTTAAGCCACTCTGCCAGAGACACCACTTAACGTCTCTGTACCTTTCCCGTCACTTGAACTCACAAACTAATAAATACATGAAGAAGCCTTAACCTGAAAAAAGAAAACTCCTCCCAACAGACTCTTAGGTGATGATTTTCAAAATCTGTGCATCTTCAATAATCCACATTACCTAATTTGAAAACATGTCCTACTATCTCTTAAAAATACTACAGGTTATAATATTTAAAAACTGTATCAGAATGCATAAAATGTGTACGTACAGTTTAAAAAGTTATAAAACAAATATCCACCTACCCACGATTCTGCCTGAGAAAGAGAAACACGGCAGTCACTCAAGCTTGCTGGGGGATCTTACGCTAACAGCCGCCTCCCCCACCACACCTGGTCCTCTCCTCGTAACCTAGATCCTGGATTTTGTATTAATCATGTCTTTGATTTTACCATTTCAGCAATTATGTACAAGTAATACATGATTTATTTAACACATGTTTAAAATCTATATAGACTTAGGTATATTTTTCTGCAACTTGATGCTTTCACTTAAAATTACGTTACGGATCATCCATATTGATTCATGTAACTGTAAGTCCTACATTTTTTCATCAACGGATTGTATTTTGCTGCTTAATTACATCATAATTTATATATCCACTCCATGGCTGATGGACATTTGGGTTGTTTCCATCTTTTCGCTCTCACTCACCATGTGGCTATAAACTTTCTTGTCCACGTCTCCTGGTAGACATGTGTAAGAGTTTCATCAGAGTGGAATTACCTGATCGTGAGTTATGCACATTCAATTTTACTAGGCACTGCCAACTTGTTTTTACAAAGTGGTTACACTAATTTCCACTCCGTCACTGTGTGAGAGATTTCCTAAATCTCCGCATTCTGGCTAACCCTTACTATTGTCAGATATTTTAACATTTGCCAATCTAGTGGGTGATAAATGGCAATGTGGTTTTAATTTGCAATGCCCTGATCGCCAGAAAGACTGAGCATCTTTTTGAATGTTTACGAGCCATTTGGGTTTCTTCTGTGACATGCCTTTTCCTGTCTAGTCCTGTCTTTGGTGTAATGTTTCACCAGGTTGCCTGCCTCTTATTGATTTGTAAGAGTTCTTTTTTTTTTCTTAAAGATTTTATTCATTCATTTGAGAGAATGAGAGAGCACAAGCTGGGGGTGGGGCAGAGGGAAAGGGAGAAGCAGATTTCCCACAAAGCAGGGAGCGCCATAGGGTGGCTGGATCCCAGGACCCGGAGATCATGACCTGAGCCGAAGGCAGACACTTAACTGACTGAGCCACCCAGGCACCCTGTAAGAGTTCTTTATATTTTTTGTATTTTAACCCTACGGAAGTTATGTCTCACAAATAACTCCTACTTTAAGGCTTGTTTTTGACGACCAGATATCTTTACCATAACTGTAGTCCTGATTTATTAATCTTTTCCTTTATATTTTGTGCTTTTTATATCGTAAGAAATATTCCTTCCCTGAGGTATAAAGATACTGTCCCACATCGTCTTCTAAAGTTTTATAGTTTTTCTCCTTTGTATTTAATTTGATTCTACTTAGAACTGACTTTTTGGTAAGTATGAGGAAAGAATCCAATTTTATTCTTTAGAGATAATCAATTGCCACAGGTCCATTTAATAAATAGTTCATTTCTTTTCTACTCAGTATTCCATTTCTATCTCCATACAGTGTAACGTGGATTTAACTGTAGCTTCCTCATATCTTCTCAAGTACTACCTTACAATTTTCTTTAGGAGTGTCTTCATTATTTCTGACCCTTTGAATTTCCACTTGTTATTTTTTTTTAAAGATTTTATTTATTTATTTGATTGAAAGAGTGAG